CAGCCCTCCTGTGTCCCAGGAAGCCCCGCCAGCCCTCCTGTGTCCCATGCTAAAGCCCTTGTCAGCTTGGGGAATGCCATCCTTAGGCAGAGAGCACCCAGCATACACCTGAGAATCTGCCCTCATCCTCCTGGGTCTGGGGCCCTTGGCTTCTTGCAGGAAAGTTGGGGTACATCCACCCCAGGTGCCAACCAGAAATGGTGATGTGAGACCACCCTTCACCCCTCCCAGGCCTGGGGCAGCTGCAGGACCTGGTGCAGGAGAGGCGGGCTGGGCTGAGAGAACCAGCCACTCCCAGCCCCCCGCCTGCTGGACCAGGGCTCAGGGGAGGAGGCGGAGTCTGGAGGGCTGTGCAGTGGGAGGATGGCCGGCTCCTCTCCCAGTGACCTCCGTGGCCTTGGGCAGCAGCAGCGGCCCAGCCCAGGCTCAGAGCCCACACAGGACTTTCCTGGGCAGGGATTTGGTCAGCAGCTGCCTCGCAGGGTGAGGCACAACTTGGGCTCCGGGAAAGAGGAGGAACCTGGGAGCAGAATCCCCGGAGATGGGGCCAGCACCCCCACTCCCGGCACAGGGGCCTCTCCGGCCTCCGCTGTCCCCGTGTGAACTGGCTGCCCCTACTCCCTGGGCTTTTCCTGCAGTTGCTGTGGGAGCCAAGGTGGGGCATGTGCACTGATGGTGTGTTGGCCTGTGTGTTGCATGGGTTGGCATGTGTGTTGGCATGTGCTGGGGTGTGTGTTGCATGTATGTTGGCATGTGCTAGTGTGTCCATGTCCATGTATGTGTGGTGACCAGGGTAAACCCAGCTGCCCTGTCCCCTCCTGCGGGTTCTCACTGCCAAGTTCATGCTCAGCTCCTGGAGCAAGGCAGGTCCAGAAAGCCTGGCCTCGGACACTGACCTCACTCTTGCGTATGTGACCTGGGGCAGGTGACTCAGCCTCTGAGCTTCAGTTCTGTCTGCAGGTGCCTTTCAGCAGGCGGTGAGACTGCTCAGCCTGCAGGGAACGGGTCCAGGCCCAGGCTAGGGTAGCAGTCCTGCTGTGGTAGTGGCCAGGCTGTTGGGGGCATCTGGGGCAAGCTGGGGAGCTCCCAGTTCAGGCATTCTCAGGATGAGGCCCCACCCGGTGGAGTCAGGAAGCGCAGACCTGGGCTGCCGGTGAGGTGTAGGGGCCCAGGCAGGGGGAGGCCTAGGGTCAGGAGGGGAGTCAGGAGAGGGGCCTTGGGCTTGTGTAGCCCCTTCCCCAGCACCCGTGCCAGCCCATACTCCTCCGAGGGCCCCTGCTCAGCCTGGGGAGCCGCCCTCACTGGCCCAGGTGCCATGGCCCCCTCAGCAGGACAGAGCCACTCTGGACCCCCAGATCAGCCACCCCTCCTCTGGGTCATCTTGCTCACTCTCTCCTCATGGAACCTCGGCCTGTCCAGTCCTTTCAGTATTGGGCCCCGGGGACACTTCCTGCCACAACCCCCATATAACAGGGCTCCTGCCACAGCTCAGCTGAGAGGGGTCCCTGGAGGTAGGGCTTGCTCAGCCCCGCCCTCCTGTGAAGCCGCCTAGCCTGGGCTGTTCTCCGGCGGCACGCACCCTCCTGTTGCATGGATTGAAACGGGCCCAAAGACCCTCTTGCCACTTCTGGGGTCGGTGGGCTTGCAGGGAGCCATCAAGGCTCTAAAGACACCCATCTCGCCAACAAGACCTGTGCCCCAAGGAGGGTGCCCACCGTGCTTGGTGTCCCAGCCCGTCCTGCAGGGCACTGTTGGCCTGGATATGGGGTGCTGAGGGGCTGTGTGGGTGCAGGGCAGTGGGAGGGCTGCTGCTGGGGCCTTGCACCTGAGCCTGGTCCCCAAGGCCACCCTGAGCACGAGGCTCGGGGCTGCCCAGGCTGAGGGCTGGGGTTCATTTTGGCAAACTTCAGTGCCCAGCCCTGGGCAGGCACAAAGTGGACATTGCCAGGCCCAGACAGGCACCACCACCTTCCCTGGGGTGCTGGGAGCAAGGGGGGTGTGGTTCATGGGCACAGAAGCCAGGTGCCAGTGGCCGCACCAGCTAGGACTGTACAACCGCCGGAGACCGGACAGGCCACCGGCCCCTCCGTCCAGGCACGGAGTTGAGTCTGTCACCTGTCAGGTCGGGAGCCCCACAGTGAGCACATCCCTCCATCCCATCCCTGCGTCCCTGCCTCCCCCACGGCCACCCCCTCCCGTGTGCCGTGCACGTCCTCAGCCCATGGAGCCTCTGCTGGTGTCCTGTGACCGGGAGAGAATTTGCACACAGGTGCGCACTCACACGGCCTCATCCTAGTTCGTGCTCTTGCCTAACCACGTTTTAGGATCCATCCGAGGGGCTCTCTGCACATCTGGCCCCTCCAGAACATTCTGGAACATGCCCTGCCCTGGCGGTGTCCTCTGCAGGGACTCCCCCCTCCCTAGCTCTGAGCCGCACGCCTTCCTCTTGCACCACCTGGTGTGCAGCGGAGGCACTGCTGACCGGGCCCTGGGGCCTCGGATGCCTGGGCTGCGGCCGGCTCCAGGACCGGCCCTGGGATCCCAAGGGTTCATGGGGGGCTCCTCACCCCCGGATTCACTCAGAGCCGTCTGCCTCCAATTTGTGCCTGTGGGCATGGGCGGAGGACCGGTGTGGTGACGTGCAGGTCTCCGGTGTTGGTGAGACTGGCCTTCCCCATACACCTGGCCTCGGCTGCTGGGTCTCCGTGAATTCTGCCCACGTCCCCCTCTCTCTGCCGCGGCTCGTCCATTCTTGATCCCAGACCTTTGTCCGCTTCAGACACGGCAGGTTGCTTACCAGATGCCACCTTGGGCTCTGTCGCTGGGCCTTCCCAGCAGACTGGAATGCAGCCGCCATAGCTGGAAGTGGTATTTTTCACGTGCGTTTGCCCTCCAGCTGCCATTTGTTCAGGTCTTTATAAACTATTAAAAGAACCGAAAGAATCCAGAAATTATTTTGCCAGAACACTCCCTTAGATTGACAGGTTTTGTTGCCATGCGGAATGGTGTCTTATTTTGTAGTTTTCTTGTTGGTTACTGCTGGTGTTGAAGAACTACTGATGTTACAGGGTTCACACATGCTGTACGTTTTCCATGATTTATAGGCTGTCATTGCCAACGTCGCTGAACAGCCTGTCTGTCAGCCCCTTGGGGTTTTCTATGGAGGTAATCTTTTCCCCTGGAAACCATAGCGGGTTTGCCTGCCCCTGGGGTCCTTATATGTCGGCTGCTTTTCCTCATCTAA